GCAGGAGAGGACTCTTTAAAGTAGAGACACTACATACTGATATACACCTGACATCAGCAGGAGAGGACTCTTTAAAGTAGAGACACTACATACTGATATACACCTGAACATCAGCAGGAGAGGACTCTTTAAAGTAGAGACACTACATACTGATATACACCTGAACATCAGCAGGAGAGAACTCTTTAAAGTAGAGACACTACATACTGATATATTACCTGAACATCAGCAGGAGAGGACTCTTAAAGTAGAGACACTACATACTGATATACACCTGAACATCAGCAGGAGAGGACTCTTTAAAGTAGAAACACTACACATACTGATATACACCTGAACATCAGCAGGAGAGGACTCTTTAAAGTAGAGACACTACATACTGATATACACCTGAACATCAGCAGAGAGGACTCTTTAAAGTAGAGACACTACATACTGATATACACCTGAACATCACAGGAGAGGACTCTTTAAAGTAGAGACACTACATACTGATATACACCTGAAACATCAGCAGGAGAGGACTCTTTAAAGTAGAGACACTACATACTGATATACACCTGAACATCAGCAGAGAGGACTCTTTAAAGTAGAGACACTACATACTGATATACACCTGAACATCAACAGGAGAAGGACTCTTTAAAGTAGAGACACTACATACTGATATACACCTGACATCACAGGAGAGGACTCTTTAAAGTAGAGACACTACATACTGATATACACCTGAACATCAGCAGGAGAGGACTCTTTAAAGTAGAGACACTACATACTGATATACACCTGAACATCAGCAGGAGAGGACTCTTTAAAGTAGAGACACTACATACTGATATACACCTGAACATCAGCAGGAGAGGACTCTTTAAAGTAGAGACACTACATACTGATATACACCTGAACATCAGCAGGAGAGGACTCTTTAAAGTAGAGACACTACATACTGATATACACCTGAACATCAGCAGGAGAGGACTCTTTAAAGTAGAGACACTACATACTGATATACACCCTGAACATCAGCAGGAGAGGACTCTTTAAAGTAGAGACACTACATACTGATATACACCTGAACATCAGCAGGAGAGGACTCTTTAAAGTAGAGACACTACATACTGATATACACCTGAACATCAGCAGGAGAGGAACTCTTTAAAGTAGAACACTACATACTGATATACACCTGAACATCAGCAGGAGAGGACTCTTTAAAGTAGAGACACTACAATCCTGATATACACCTGAACATCAGCAGGAGAGGACTCTTTAAAGTAGAGACACTACATCACTGATATACACCTGAACATCAGCAGGAGAGGACTCTTTAAAGTAGAGACACTACATACTGATATACACCTGAACATCAGCAGGAGAGGACTCTTTAAAGTAGAGGACACTACATACTGATATACACCTGAACATCAGCAGGAGAGGACTCTTTAAAGTAGAGACACTACATACTGATATACACCTGAACATCAGCAGGAGAGGAACTCTTTAAAGTAGAGACACTACATCACTGATATAACACCTGAACATCAGCAGGAGAGGACTCTTTAAAGTAGAGACACTACATACTGATATACACCTGAACCATCAGCAGGAAGAGGACTCTTTAAAGTAGAGACACTACATACTGATATACACCTGACATCAGCAGGAGAGGACTCTTTAAAGTAGAGACACTACATACTGATATCACCTGACATCAGCAGGAGAGGACTCTTTAAAGTAGAGACACTACATACTGATATACACCTGAACATCAGCAGGAGAGGACTCTTTAAAGTAGAGACACTACATACTGATATACACCTGAACATCAGCAGGAGAGGACCTCTTTAAAGTAGAGACACTCACTACTGATATACACCCTGAACATCAGCAGGAGAGGGACTACTTTAAAGTAGAGGATACTACAATCTGATATACACTGAAAATCAGCAGGAGAGGACTCTTTAAAGTAGAGCTACTACATACCTGATATACACCTGAACATCAGCCAGGAGAGGGACTCTTTAAAGTAGAGAACACTAACATACTGATATACCACCTGAACATCAGCAGGAGAGGACCTCTAAAGTAGAGACATACATACAATGATATACAACCTGGAACATCAGCAGGAGAGGACTCCTTTAAAGTAGAGACACCTACATAACTGATATACACCTGAACATCAGCAGGGAGAGGACTCTTTAAAGTAGGGGACCACTACATACTGACTATCCACCTGACATCAGCAGGAGAGGACTCTTTAAAGTAGAGGACACTCACACTGAATGATATACACCTGAACATCAGCAGGAGCGAGACTCTTTAAAGTAGAGACAACATACCTGATATACACCTGGAAACATCAGCAGGAGAGGACTCTTTAAAGTAGAGACACTACATACTTGATATACCTTGAAGAAAGTGTGCATGATATGTCATAAAAGGTATGGAAGAAAGAAAACAAGACATTTATTTGCAGTAATCTGGATTTAAAAATGTTTGTAAAAAGAAATGCAGGTAATTGCTTTTAATATACATGTTATGTTCATCTTTAGATTTTGTATTTTCTAAATGGATGTAGCGTATGTGTACGTCCAACATTATGTATGCATTAATCTTTGTATCATTGTGTGTTGAGAAGCTGTCGGACTTCATTGTAGAATAGCACAGATTGTTTCCATATTGTAAGAGAAAGCCCTGAGGCACATTGAGTAAAACTGTTTGAAAAAGACACATCATTGGTGACTCTCCCGCAGGGTTGACGTGACATTATGGGATGACAGTGTTTCCTTATTCGTAAATTACCCGCTCGCTCTAAATATAAACTCTGACGACAGCAGCTCTTTGAGGCTGTAAAGGGCTTTTATGAAATATTACAAAACATCTGCAGAGTTCAGGTTATGATGTTACCATACACACACCTTCAGGGTAACATACACACACATCACAGTCATTAAGTGTGATAACAACACAGTGTTTCAAAGCTATACAAATACATACTAAACTAAGCTAACACTACTGTAAGGATGCTTTTTCATGAGAGGAATTCCACATACATGTACTCAAGTACAATGTTGAGGTACTTTTAATCTACTTGAGCATTTCCATTTTATGCTACTGTACTTTACTGCACTACAGCTCAGAGGTACATGGTGTACTTTTCCTCCACTACATGTATTTAATACCTTTAGTTACTTCACAGATGTGGATGAATGATGTGAAATCTAATCAAGTGTTGAATCAGACTTTAGTTCCACCTGGAGTAAATCCACCAGCTACCCTGCAGAATACAAAGTTCATTCCGACTAGCTGCACCTTCACCAGCTTGAGAATCATCTTCATTATCAATCATTATAAAACATATCATATATATTATTCTGAAATGGACCAATCTGCACAACGACTACTTTTCACTGTCGCTACTTTCACTATATTTTGATGAGAATACTTTTCCTACTTTCACTTTGAGGAAACAATTTTGATATGCAGGACTTTTACTGTAACAGAGTATTCCTACACTTCTGGTACTTCTACTTTTACTCAAGTTACAAGACCTGAAGTACTTCTGCTTTTACTCAAGTACAAGATCTGAGTACTTCTACTTTTACTCAAGCTACCCACCCGATCTGAGTCCTTCTACTTTTAACTCAATACAAGATCTGAGTACTTACTTTTACTCCGAGTACTTCTACTTTTACTCAAGTAACAAGATCTGAGTACTTCTACTTTTACTCAAGTACACGATCTGATTACTTTCTACTTTTACTCAATACAAGATCTGAGTACTTCTACTTTTACTCAATACAAGATCTGAGTACTTCTACTTTTACTCAAGTACAAGATCTGAGTACTTCTACGTTTACTCAAGTACAAGATCTGAGTACTTCTACTTTTACTCAAGTACAAGATCTGAGTACTTCTACTTTTACTCAAGTACACAGATCTGAGTACTTCTACTTTTACTCAAGTACAAGATCTGAGTACTTCTACTTTACTCAAGTACAAGATCTGAGTACTTCTACTTTTACTCAAGTACAAGCTATCTGAGTACTTCTACTTTTTACTCAATTACAGTCTAAATCTGAGTACTTCTAGCTTTAACTCAAGTAAACAAGATCTGAGTGATTCTTCCTACTTTTACTCAAGTACAAGATCTGAGAGTACTTCTACTTTTACTCAAGTACAAGATCTGAGTACTTCTACTTTTACTCAAGTACAAGATCTGAGTACTTCTACTTTTACTCAAGTACAAGATCTGAGTACTTCTACTTTTACTCAAGTACAAGATCTGAGTACTTCTACTTTTACTCAAGTACAAGATCTGAGTACTTCTACTTTTACTCAAGTACAATCTGAGTACTTCTACTTTTACTCAAGTACAAGATCTGAGTACTTCTACTTTTACTCAAGTACAAGATCTGAGTACTTCTACTTTTACTCAAGTACAAGATCTGAGTACTTCTACTTTTACTCAAGTACAAGATCTGAGTACTTCTACTTTTACTCAAGTACAAGATCTGAGTACTTCTACTTTTACTCAAGTACAGACAGATCTGAGTACTTCTACTTTTACTCAAGTACAAGATCTGAGTACTTCTACTTTTACTCAAGTACAAGATCTGAGTACTTCTACTTTTACTCAAGTACAAGATCTGAGTACTTCTAACTTTACTCAAGTACAAGATCTGAGTACTTTCTACTTTACTCAAGTTACAAAGATCTGAGTACTTGTACTTGTTGTTTATTTCACTCTAAATCGAATGATGTAATCTTGGCGCCTGAGTAACGGTTATGTTCTTAACAGTTTTAAAACAATGTTACTTCTTCTGTTTAAGATATTAATAAAGTTGAAGTTAATTTGTATAATCGTTGTCAAAATGTTGTCATTTTTTCAACTGGTCTTTATTAGAGTTGAACTCTCGAATCCCTGACGTTAGAACTTCACTTCTTCTCTCTAACGCTTCCCGCCTCTTCTCGTTTGCAGGTCTTCTCCATCGTGAATCTTCGGATGCATCGCCAACGAGGGCTACATCAACCGGCCCGACACGGCGGAGGAGTTCTGCATCTTCAACAAGAACCAGAACGCCTGTAACTATGGCGTCTTCATGGGCTCCATGGCCTTCCTCTGCTTGCCTCGCCTTCCTCGCTCTGGACGTCTACTTCCCCCAGATCAGCAGCGTGAAGGACCGCAAGAAGGCCGTTGCTGGCCGACATCGGGCTGTCAGGTAAAGGAAGGATCAGGCTTCACCCTTATGGCTTGAGAATGAGGGTGGATGCATTGCAAACAGAGATGGCAAAAGTTCACACATCCTTTACTCAAGTAGAAGTACAGATACTTTTGTTTCAAATACTCTGGTGAAAGTGGAAGTACTGACTAAAACTTCTTTACTCAAGTCAAAGTAAAGAGGCTTTGAAATGTACTTCAGTAAAAAGTACCCCATAACTAGCAGCTGCTTTAAAGAGTACCTGACCTCCCTTTATATTAATAGAACAATAATGTCATTGTTAGCTAATGAATGTTTCCATGCTGAACAACGGCAACATGAACAACGTTTCCATTGGTCCCTCTTCTTTAGAGAAGACCAGGAAATGATGGATACACGGATCGTGTTCAAATCAATAGGCACGCAATGACTCTAAGAATAATGATCACGCATCAAACACACATTCAGACTAAAGGAACCAGCTGTTTGGAAAATGAGAGGAAGTAGAAAGTACAAGTATTTGAGTTCAACATGTAAGAAGTAGAAAGTACAGGGTATTTGAGTTCAACATATAAGAAGTTAGAAAAGTACAGGTATTTGTGTTCAACATGTAAGAAGTAGAAAGTACCAGGTATTTGAGTTCAACATGTAAGAAGTAGAAAGTACAGGTATTTGAGTTCAACATATAAGAAGTAGAAAGTACAGGTATTTGTGTTCAACATGTAAGAAGTAGAAAGTACAGGTATTTGAGTTCAACATGTAAGAAGTAGAAAGTACAGGTATTTGGGTTCAACATGTAAGAAGTAGAAAGTACAGGTATTGTGTTCAACATGTAAGAAGTAGAAAAGTACAGGTATTTGTGTTCAACATGTAAGAAGTAGAAAGTACAGGTATTTGTGTTCAACATTAAGAAGTAGAAAGTACAGGTATTTGAGTTCAACATGTGAGAAGTAGAAAGTACAGGTATTTGTGTTCAACATGTGAGAAGTAGAAAGTACAGGTATTTGAGTTCAACATGTAAGAAGTAGAAAGTACAGGTATTGTGTTTCAACAGTAAGAAGTAGAAAAGTACAGGTATTTAGTTCAACATGTAAGAAGTAGAAAGTACAGGTATTTGTGTTCAACATGTAAGAAGTAGAAAGTACAGGTATTTGAGTTCAACATGTAAGAAGTTAGATAGAAAGTACAGGTATTTGAGTTCAACATGTGAGAAGTAGAAAGTACAGGTATTTGAGTTCAACATGTAAGAAGTAGAAAGTACAGGTATTGAGTTCAACATGTAAGAAGTAGAAGTACAGGTATTGAGTTCACACATGTAAGAAGTAGAAAGTACAGGTATTTGGGTTCAACATGTAAGAAGTAGAAAGTACAGGTATTTGAGTTCAACATGTAAAGAAGTAAGAAAGTACAGGTATTTGGGTTCAACATGTAAGAAGTAGAAAGTACAGGTATTTGGGTTTCAACATGTAAGAAGTAGAAAGTACAGGTTATTGTTTTCAACATGTAAGAAGTAGAAAGTACAGGTATTTGTGTTCAACATGACATTACATTGCATTTAGCTGACGCTTTTATCCAAAGCGACTTACAATAAGTACATTCGGACCAGGAAGACACAACCTTGAAGAAAACAGAATCATATAAGTACAATCAGGTTTCATAGAGCCAAACATTTCAAGTGCTACTCAACTGGCTTTAGGTAAGCCAGTCCTTTATTAGTATATAAGTGCTCTGTTAATAGTTCTAACGCTCGAAGTGGAGTCGAAAGAGATGAGTTTTCAGTTTGCGCCGGAAGGTGTGTAAGCTTTCTGCTGTCCTGATGTCAATGGGGAGCTCATTCCACCATCTTGGAGCCAGGATAGCAAACCCACGTGTTTCTGTTGATGGAACTTGGGTCCCCCTCGCAGCGACGGGCGCAGCGAGTCGTTTGGCTGATGCAGAGCGTAGTGCACGCGCTGGGGTGTACGGTTTAACCATGTCCTGGATGTACGAAGGGCCAGATCCATTCGCAGCATGGTAAGCAAGTACCATTGTCTTGAAGTGGATTCTAACAGTTACCGGAAGCCAGTGAAGGGAGCGGAGGAAGACGGAGTGGTGTGGGAAAATTTAGGAAGGTTGAAGACCAGACGAGCCGCTGCATTCTGGATGAGCTGCAGAGGTCGGATGGCACATGCAGGTAGACCAGCCAGGAGGGAGTTGCAGTAGTCTAGGCGTGAGATGACGAGAGCCTGGACCAGAACCTGCGTCGCTTTCTGGGTCAGCTGGGGACGTATCTTCCTGATGTTGTAAAGAGTGTATCTGCAGCAACGGGTTGTAGCAGCGATGTTTGCAGTGAAGGACAGGTTGTTATCTAGGGTCACACCCAGATTCCTTGCAGTCTGAGTCGGGGAAACAACTGAGGTGCCGATGTTGATTGTTAGGTCAAGAGTGGGACAATCTTTTCCCGGGGGAAGGAAGAGCAGCTCAGTCTTGTCAAGGTTGAGCTTGAGGTGGTGAGCAGACATCCACTGAGAGATGTCAGCTAGACAAGCAGAGATGCGTGCAACGACCTGGGTCTCTGAGCGGGGAAAGGACAGAATGAATTGGGTGTCGTCAGCATAGCAGTGGTAAGAAAAACCATGCGGGCTAATGACTGATCCGAGCGAGTTTGTGTACAGGGAGAAGAGGAGGGGACCTAGAACAGAGCCCTGAGGGACCCCTGTAGTTAATTGACAAGGGTCGGACTCAGACCCTCTCCAAGTTATATCATCAACCTTTTTTTCAAAGTGGATAACAAAGTCGCTTGACAAAAGTGAGGAGGGGGGAGGAGCTTTTGGAGGGTCCAAGAGGGTGGAGAAGCTGGAAAATAGTTTTTTGGGATTGGAATAGGAGGTTTGGATCTTATCTTGAAAGAAAGTGCTTTTTGCCTGAGAGATCGAAGCAGAGAAAGAGGAGAGGAGAGCCTGATAGTTTAGGAGGTCGTCACGGTGTTTGGATTTCCACCATTTCCGCTCTGCTGCCCGAAGGACGGTTCTATTAACACGCAGTGCGTCATTTAGCCAGGGAGCAGGAGGGGACTGACGAGCCTGCCGAGATGTGAGAGGACAGAGAGAGTCCAGAGAGGATGAGAGAGTAGAGAGGAGAGTTTCTGCAGCAGAGTTTGGAGGCAGGAGTTGGAACGAGTCAGATGAAGGGAGGGCTGAGAGCACCGATGAGGCAAAGGTAGAGGGGGAGAGGGAACGAAGGTTACGGCGGACAGGTGCAGGATGAGAAGAGATTAGTTTGTTATGTTTGGAAAGGGGTAGAGACAATGAAATGAAGAAGTGATCGGATGTGTGGAGCGGGTTTGGGTTCAACATGTAAGAAGTAGAAAGTACAGGTATTTGGGTTCAACATGTAAGAAGTAGAAAGTACAGGTATTTGGGTTCAACATGTAAGAAGTACAAAGTACAGGTATTTGGGTTCAACATGTAAGAAGTAGAAAGTTCAGGTATTTGGGTTCAACATGTAAGAAGTAGAAAGTACAGGTATTTGTGTTCAACATGTAAGAAGTAGAAAGTACAGGTATTTGTGTTCAACATGTAAGAAGTAGAAAGTACAGGTATTTGTATTCAACATGTGAGAAGTAGAAAGTACAGGTATTTGAGTTCAACATGTAAGAAGTAGAAAGTACAGGTGTTTGTATTCAACATGTGAGAAGTAGAAAGTACAGGTATTTGGGTTCAACATGTAAGAAGTAGAAAGTACAGGTATTTGTGTTCAACATGTAAGAAGTAGAAAGTACAGGTATTTGAGTTCAACATGTAAGAAGTAGAAAGTACAGGTATTTGTGTTCAACATGTAAGAAGTAGAAAGTACAGGTATTTGTGTTCAACATGTGAGAAGTAGAAAGTACAGGTATTTGTATTCAACATGTAAGAAGTAGAAAGTACAGGTATTTGTATTCAACATGTAAGAAGTAGAAAGTACAGGTGTTTGTATTCAACATGTAAGAAGTAGAAAGTACAGGTATTTGTGTTCAACATGTGAGAAGTAGAAAGTACAGGTATTTGAGTTCAACATGTAAGAAGTAGAAAGTACAGGTATTTGAGTTCAACATGTAAGAAGTAGAAAGTACAGGTGTTTGTGTTAAAAATGTAAGAAGTCAAAGTATCAGGCTTCATGTTGGGAAAATACTGAATGTACTCTTCCAATATCAGAGCAGCACATGATAACAAGCAGTCAAGTACACTCAGGTTCAGACTTCACCTGCATTAGGGCTTGAGAACATGCTTGAGAATGAGGAACCAGGCGGATGAATGTGAAGCAGCATATTTTCCTTTGGTTTTAAGACTAGTTTCTCTGACAGTTTAATATTCCTTTTACACATGTATCACTGAACACTTCTGAACAAACAGAGAGCTGCAGGAATGAGTCCTAAAGCATCCTAAAAATGTCACACTACCAACTAAAGATCTAGAGAAGTGTATATCATCAGCATAACAACGAGGAAGCTAATGTACTTTCAGGTTGCTCACTCTTCTGGGTCTGTTTCCTCGTGGTTGATTGCACTTATTGTAAGTTGCTGTGGATAAAAAGCATCAGAATAAATAATCAAAATGTTTCTTTGTGATATTTATTTAACGCCAAGTAGGTTGAGACAAAATGTAATACTTCAGGTGGTGTTTGTTGTATTTCAATCATTATTCTAAGACTTTCTTTGTGTATTTATCTCTCTCTTTGCAGCGTTCTGGTCCTTCATGTGGTTCGTGGGTTTCTGTTTCTTGGCCAATCAGTGGCAGGTGACCAATCACGAGGACAACCCTCTGAGGGAGGGGGGCGACGCCGCCCGGGCCGCCATCACCTTCTCCTTCTTCTCCATCTTCACCTGGGTAAGAGCCACACACATCTCTGGTGTAACACAACACAACAGCTGCCCCCTGGTGGAGATGGAGGGCATAACAAGCCACTGACAACTAGAGAAACTGAGAGTGACTGTTAGAAAAGTCTCACTGGTCCCCGGCTTGAGCTTCAATCTCAGGGTCCATGTATCTGTGATCCTCTACAGAATGGAAGTAGTCATCACATACAGAGCATCAACTAGTTCCTGAACAGTGTCCTTCACATGCTGATAGACAAGAGAGGGAGTTACACAGTCACAAGATGGAGGTATACCGGTTCTTCTAGGTAATCATACATCCTGTCGTGTACAAAATATTAAGTTTGTTGTCAAAATTTTGGCTTTTTTCTCAAAATCTCAAAATTCTGACTTTCTCAATTTTTTTTGACTTTCTCTAAAAAAAAGTGTCTTTCTCTCAAAATTATGACTTTTCTAAAAATCTCAGAATTCTGGATTTTTTCTCAAAATTCGGACTTTTTCTCAAAATTCAGACTTTTTCTCAAAATGTGGACTTTTTTCTGAATACTTAAAATGTTAATAATCCCTGGTCCCCAGTTTGAGTTTCAATCTCAGGATCCATGTATTTCTGATCCTCTCCAGAATGGAAGTAGTCATCACATACAGAGCATCAACTAGTTCCTGAACAGTGTCCTTCACATGCTGATATCAAGAGAGGGAGTTACACCGTCACAAGATGGAGGAATAGAAAGCAGTATTCAATGTTTACTTCAGATTAGCTCCACGTCAGAAATGAGCATGCTTGATGTCTATCTCCATAGAGGCTGAATCATCATGTTCATCGCATAGCTATCATATGCCTAAAACAGTCCTGATGCTCTTCTAGGTAATCACACATCCTGTCATGTTCACAGCTACAGTTGATACCTTTGTTATCATGTTACTCTCACGTTGGAAGAGGACATTCAGTGTTTTCCCAACAGTGACCAACTATTTGATCATTGGTAAAAAGGACATTTTTCATGTAGAAATGCAGCCTCTCAACTATGGGGATTTCCTGCCTTTCTCTGTTTTATATCATAATAAAAGGAATATCTTGCGGTTAAAGACTGACGGACATGGTGGACAATATGTCTTCAGTTTGTCTGTCCATCAATTATCGTAAACACAAGTGTTCTCCATCTTCTCCTGGGTAAGAGCCCACACACATCTCAGCAGACACAACACAACAGCTGCTCCCTGGTGGAGATGGAGGGCATAACAAACCAGAAAGCTCGATCTGACTGTACAAACTGTGAAGTCCACTGAGACAAATGTAACATTTGTGATATTGGGCTATATAAATAAACATTGATTGATAGATAGATTGATTGATTGATAGATCTGCAACAATTACAAAGATAATGGCCATCTGATTTTCAGTTTGTCCTGAAAAAATGCCGGAAATATATTTGTACAGTCACTCATATATGGAGACTTCCTTCTTCTCTGTTTTATACAATGACAAAGTGAACATATGTGCGTTATTTGACAGACAAAACTTTAGGAAACTGGGATGGAAATTAAGTTCTCTGGTTTTCTGTCCATCGATTATCGTGAACACAATGTCTCAGAAATATCTTGAGGACATTTCTTTAATTTAGGAAAAAACGTCCACTTAGGAGGAACTGATTAGAAACCTGGAGGTCAAGAATTTAATTCCTCCTTTATTATCTTTTGAAAGTTCTCTCACATCTTCTTTTTAGTCACTGTTTGGATCCGGGTGTTTGATTCAATCTAAATTCAATTTAGGCAAAAACTTCCACTTGGACTTACTGTAAGGATTTGGGGATCAAAGGACCCTCGTATTTGGCCAAAACTCAAGAACTCTTAGGTTAATCGCGACAATTTTGCACAAATATCTAATAGTGACAATATAATTCAGTTTGAATTCAATTCATACACAAACTTCCACTTGGACTTTAAGACAAAATTATCAAAATGTGGCGATCAAAGGTCCCTCGTATTTGGACCAAACTCAAGAACTCATACGCTAATTATGACGATTGTTTTCCAAAGATCTAATAGAATAAAACATTTTGGAAAGACATGGATGTTAAATATAACTTGATTGGAGGAGACATACAAAACAAGGCGGTTCTTCTTTTTCACAATTGTAAAGTTACATATGACCTATTAAACATCCTTTTAATTCCTCTTTGATGAGTTTTTGGAATTGTGTAGGACTTGATGGATCTTTTTTTGGTCAGTGATTTGATGTGTGTGATTGTGTTTGTTTCTGTAATTCAAATTACATTTAGGCAGAAACTTACACTTGGACTTAAGGATGAAATGATTAAAAGTTGGTCAAAGAGTCACTCTTATTTGGCCAAAGGTCAAGAACTCATCTGCTAATTATGACGTTTATTACACAAATATCTAATAGAATAAAAATGGTAAAGGAATGCTAATCTGCACATATTTGTGGATGGTGTGGACATGCAATGCAAGACGATAATTCCAGCACACAAAGCAATTTGTATAGATGAATTGGTTAATTGGCTAGTTGCAAAGATTCACAGTTAATCAATGATGGAGACGACCATGAGTTGCAGCCCCACTGAACTTCCTTTCAACTTTGAACTCTTCCTCAATTAGCTCTTGAAAATGCAGAGGTTTTGACTCATTTTCTCCATCTTCTTTGGATGTGTGTGCATGTAAACTCATGAGCCTTTATTCCCACAGGGCGCTCAGGCTCTCTTCTCTATGGAGAAGTTAAAGAATGTGTCGTTTGAAGAGGAATACACCAAGCTGTTCCCCCCCCAGCCCCATCAGCCTCTTGTCTGATTCTGTCTCTCACACACACACACACACACACACACACACACACACACACACACACACACACACACACACACACACACACACATGCTTACATGACAATCCAGCAGTGTGAGCACCAGTTGTCGGGTCATTGTTGTTGTTTTTGGTTAAATATTGTTTTCCTGATTGTAATGTTGTGCAGGTGGGTTGATCCCTCGTCACGATGACTCAACACCTTTTTTTGCCAAATGCTGAGATTTTCTAGCGTTAAACACCGTCTTAAATTCCTTTAATCTCTTTTGGAGATCCGTGAGTTTTTAAATTGCATCTCACCAAAAAGAATTGAGAGCTAAAGTAGTCAAACGATTTAGAAGAAAGCATGTCAACAAAACGTTTGTACTTCATATTCAAAGTTTGCCAGTGTGTGTTTGTGTCCAGGGTTTACAGAGTGATTGATGCTTTGCTTTCTATTTGTAACGTAGGATTTATTAGGGTTGGTTTTTATACGCAACAACTCTGATTAAAACTTAACCCAGCGCTTTGCTTGATGCTGTAAAAGGTTTTGTATTTTTTCTGCTTTTTGATAAAGTTACATTCAAAAGATTTTCTCTTCATTCTCCTGACTCCATATTCACTGATTCCACTGTTCACAGTCTTTATGCTAAGCTAGGCTAAGCTAAGCTACGCTAACCAAAGTTACCAGCTGCTGCCACATATTGCACAGACAAAAAATAAGGTGTTATCAGTATTTTCTAACTCAAAAGTCCAGAAGTGTAATTTCCTAAAACGTCAACATAGTCCCTACATTTTACTATTTGTTGTATCAAAGTATTCCGTATTTGCACATCCATGCTTTCCCATAAAGCAGACCGTTTTAAGACATTTCATTAAAGTTTTGAATTACTTTGAAGCATATGCACTGTTCTGATTTTAATTGCTTTATGCATGTTATTGGTTTATTAAGTTATTAGTTATTATACCAAATTCCACAATAACCAATAACAATCAGACGGTTTTTTGACAGTTTTTTCTTTGTTATTATATCAGACAATTACTGACTTTAATATTATGCAACCAACCAGCTGGACAAGATGTTGAAAGACAGACTGAAGAGTTAAAGTGAACCACATTAGATCTAAAGGACCCGAGACACTCAGTAAACTAAACCTTAATAAATCCTTCCATCGTTTAGTCGTCTTATTTAGACATTTGTTGAAACCGCCATCTTTAAATCCACTCGTGACCTGATGTCAGGATGACAACCAAAAACACATTCAGAAAACTATTGACTTCATGCTGACTCATTCCCAGGTTCACTGTCCTTTCTGCTTCCTGTACAACAAACTCTCTGACTGAATATCTCGCTAAAACTACACTCTCCGCTACCATTATCCTCCATCTTGATTCACCCTTCCTTCTCCATCCTCCATACACTATGTTGAAAGACAAAAGAAAGACTGAAGACACTTGTCAGCATCCTCCATTTTTGTATTCTTCAGCGGGGTATTTACTGACATGTTTCATATCGTAGAACTAACATCTCTTGAGCTTGTGTTAACCACCGTTATATTTCAGGATAACAACGAAAAACACATTCAGTAAACCATTGAAGGGGACAGGAAATGCTAAATTGTTGACTCATTCCCAGGTTCAGTTACTGCTGAAACTACTGAATTTCCCCATGGGGATTAATAAAGGTCCATCTTATATATCTCTTACATATCTTATCTCTTATAGTTCTTCACACTGGCCTTTCTGCTTCTTGTAGAACTAACTCTCTGACTGAATATCTCGCTAAAACTAATCACCAGCTTTTCACTTCGACTAATCAATGTTTCCTTCTCTTTCTCCCCCCCCCCTTCTCTCTTTCCTTCCGCTCTAACACTCTCCATTATCCTCCATCTTTTTTCACCCTTCCTCCTCCTTCTTCCTCCCCCAAGGCTGGTCAGTCCTTCCTGGGCTTCCAGAGATACAAACTGGGTGCAGACTCGGCTCTTTTCTCCCAGGAATACACGGACCCCAGCCAGGACGCAGCGGGGGGGCCGTACACCTCCTTCGGGGGGGGGGAGGACCTGGAGAGCCCCGTCGGAGAAGGAGGAGGGGGGGCGACGGCCAAAAGCGAGGCTGCATTCGACGGCAGCGGAGGGTACCAACGTCAAGACTACTGAGGGAGAAATAGTGAGAGGGGGGGGGGGGAAGTTACCCATCGTTTCTCACTTAGAATCAGAGTTAAATTGGTGGTAAAATAGAAACAACACCGGTCCAAATGGGTTGTTTTGACCTGAGTTTAAAGTAAAAAAAATGCCAGAAATCTGTGGAAGTTTTATTTGTAACAGAGTATCTTTACTATTATTTAAGTATAAGACATTTTAAAGATAAATGGACAAAAACAATGTGCATTTCTTACGGCAAAGGACACATGATTTTAGTTTGGATTAATAACCTAGAAGTACAGATGTCAACATCAAGGTTAAGTTACCAATAGTTCCTAACTTAGAATCAAAGTCAATTGGGGGTAATATAGAAACAACACCAGTCCCAATGGGTTGTTTTGACCTGAATTTAAAGTAAAAAAACGCAACAAATCTGTTGTTAAAAGTACAAAACAAAGCATTTTTACTTGTAACGGAGTATTTTTACTATTATTTAAGTAAAATACCTTAGTACTTCTTCCACTACTGAAAACATCTAAAGTTAAATGGAAAATAATGCAAATGAAATGTATTAGGGCAAAGGACACCTGATTTTAGCTTGGGTTAATAACCCAGAAGTACAGGGGTCAACATCCAGGTTAAGTTACCCATAGTTCTTAGAAACACAATATCATTGCACCTGGGGTATTATAGAAACAATGTCAGTCCCAATGGGTTGTTTTGACCTGAGTTTAACCATAAAAACACAAAAAATATGTTGTTAAATATACAAAACACTGCATTTTTTACTTGTAATTAAGTCTTAGAACTTCTACAAAAACAATCTGCAAATGACTTGTGTTAGGGCAAAGGACATGAGTTTAGAAGTACAGGGGTCAACATCCAGGTTAAGTTACCAATAGTTCCTAACTTAGAATCAGAATTCAATTGGGGGTCAAATAGAAACAATACAAGTTAAAATGGGTTGTTTTGACCTGAATTTAACCTAAAAAATGCAGAAAAATCTGTTGTTAAATGTACAAAACAATGGATTTCTATTTGTAACAGAGTAGTTTTACCTTTACTTGAGTAAAAGATGTCACTACTTCTTCCACTGCTAACATTTTAAAGTTGAATGGACAAAAACAATGTGCATCTTTTACGGCAATGGACACATGATTTGAGTTCTGGTTAATTACCCAGAAGTACAGGGGTCAACATCCACATTAAGTTACCAATAGTTCCTAATTTTAAGTGGGGTTGGATATAGTTTTTATTGTACAAAAAACAATTGTAATTTGGGTAAACATTACATGACATGTCACTTTTATCCAAAGCGACTTACATACTCAATACTGTGGGCAATCCCCACAGGAGCACTTTGGGGTGAAGTGTCTCAGGGACACAACGACATGCTGACTGCAGTGGGGGTTTGAACCTGTGCTCCCCTGATCTGAACACCAACAAACTAGTCCACTGCGCCATACGCCTCCCTAAACATCGCATTGTGCGGCAATACCAGAACCAATGGGTTGTTCTGACCAGAGTTTACTGTAAAAACACAAAGAAAAACCTTGTTAAATGTACAAGACAATGAGAATATGATATTTATAATGATAAAGGAGACACATATTGCTAACAACCAGTAGCAAATAGTCACATGCTCGTTTAAAAAAAATGATCTATACTAGCCTTTAATGTGTTATTGTTGTGTTTAAATGCAACAATTCTGCATTTATCTGGGGGCGAAAGTTGGTGGACTTCATACCTGCAACATTTCAGTTATTCGATAAAAGTCTGAATAATCTCTGAATTAGAAAATGTGGGTAACTTTCCAGATTTTGGGGAGAACATGTCGATTATTTGGTGAATAAATTGTGAGGTTTGCAGAAAGACAGGTCAATGCTGGTGACCACATTGCCTTTATCCTCCAACAAAACGACTGCGATCAGTGACACACACACACACACACACACACACACACACACACACACACACACACACACACACACACTACATACACACTATTTATTGTGGAATAAATTGACAATGTCACAAAGGAGCGATAGAGAGTAAAATGTGTATGAATATTTTCTGCTGCAATAAATCAGCAAAGTCACTAGGGGGAGATGGAGAGCAAAAGTGTGTGTATTCAGATGAAAAAAAAAAAAGTAATTACACACCTACTCTGTTTCAAAATGCTCTGAGGACCAGTCTGAAACTTTGAGAGAAGCTTTTAAACAACCTCTGGAGGCCATTACAGTCAAAACAAATTGACAACCGGCCTAAATGTCCTCACTCTGCAAAATAGTCCTCACTCCAAAGATTAATAACCTGTGTGTGTCCTCACAAAGATAGCAGTACAAACACGCACACACACAAGCACATTTTAACACAGGTTTTTCTGCAGTTTAAACTCCTTAAAGGTGCGTTACAGGATCTCAAGCAGTGGCATATCTGGCAACTAATCCCCTCACCTGTAAAAACGACAGTGTATGTGTGTTTTTTTTTTTACGTGTGGCTGTTGGAAAGTGTGTTTTTGTTTCTTGTTTCCCTGAATGAATTTTCTCCTCGATTGTTGCCTTAGTGCAGACTGCCAAGCGAAATCCAAGGACAGATTCCCAACGTGCACAGAAGTTATTTTTGTCGTTAAGCACATAACAAAACCTGAACAAAAGAAGCATTCATAAAGAGCATCTTCAGAAACACAAAATGGCCGACAGATAACACACAACAGGTTATTTATCCACTTTATTTCTGCGAATCGACACACGATGCAAACATCCTGAGTATTTATGAACATGCATTGCTCCATTTTCTTAAAGAATAAAGTCTATCTCTATAAATATATGTAAATCTATAATTCAGCATATTAGAGTGTTTGAAAATGCTTTATTTTTAGGGCATTATGCTATTTCTGTATAAAAAACGGTTAAATAAATAATTCAGCATATTAGAGTGTTTGAAAATGACAAAAGAAATGTTCAGTGTTTTAATGTGATAAGCTTTCAGGGTCAGGAGATGCTTTTATTTTGAAATAATAATAACTAACTATAAAAACAAAAAATGTGACCAAATGACCAAAGTATATATACGCACATATATACTTTATATACCGTGTAGACGTCTAGATGTGTGACGTTCCTTTTGTGAAGTCCATTTAAAAAAGAGTTAGATTTAGACACAGATTGTGTACAAATGTATGTTTTTGTTGTGATTTCAACCAATAAAAATAAAGGAAATACTGATAAAGATATACATGTCTGCTGTGGGATTTTCTTAAATGTATTTTGAATATTTATATATATAATAATGTTTTACTTGCTTAGGAACAATGTGGGAATACAACACATATGTTCTGTATAATAATGCTGTGTCGTCCTACGTGCACGTATCTCTTGACTTTCAGCTAAACACCTTTCACCATCAAGGACTAGAGACCGTAGATGTCGTTTAATCGCTTTAATGTTGAAGAAAGGGTGAAACTGCGAAATAAACACAATACAAGAAGTACATAAATATGCGGAGGAATAGTTACACATATTATATACATCATACATTGAATTAACACCAAAGAACATACACCCACATGTCTGTAGCACAACATGATGGCTGCAGCTAACTGTAGTTCTACAGAGGAGTTTACAACACACATTAACTATCGTCCCAAAAATATTCTCTATACACATTATTAATTGCTTCACGTATTAACTGGAAATGAAAGAACACTATGTGTATATCAATTGAATATATAATGCGAACGTCAAGGATTAGAGCGGATTGTGGTCACCAAAAATCATGGATGTATAATAAGAACTGGATACAGCGTGGGAGGCGGGGCCTCGTTCATTCCTATGAGAGCTGCTCATTGGCGCATGAAGACAAAATGGCCCAACTTTTGAGAGAGCGAAACGTCACGAAAGTATTCATCATATAATCCGTTCTTATTGTGCAGTCATGGGTAAAGGTAAAACTCATGTAGTACTGAACACGTCACATGAACGTGCCGGGCGGCGCGGTCCCGTGGGTGGGATCTGCATTCGTAATGCCGAGGAAAATAACTCTCAGAATAACGTTATAAGCACATTGCTATTGGGTAGTACATGTGTTTATAGGTCCTGCTCTCTGGCCATACACTCACACAACTTCCGAATCTTCAAACGAGCAACATCTCTTTGTTTTATTGGACTGGATTTGTCAGATTCAAGTAAGTAAAATGCCTTTTTGTGATTATTACAATGTCTAGAACATATTTAGTTATTGTGGAATACATTCATCAAATTAGATTTTGAGCAGCTTATGTCTTTGTTGCAATATTACAACACTGGGTCAGTGTGGTGGTCAAAATAGCATGAGCGCCTGTCATGGACCCCGCCCTTCTTATATGTTCACATATGGAAATAAAACACAAATAGAAATATAATGTCTTTGATAATTCACTATAACTAAGTTCTAAATGTGTCCTCTGTTAAATAAAGTTAAATACCATAGAACATATCTTGAACCGTGAATCTTTCAATGAGGTGGAAGAATTATTGAACTTAAGGGGAAAAAAGCGCATTCTGAAAGTAAAAATGAACTCAAAATGTTTATTTTATTCTCAAAATGCAGTGCAAAAATAAAAAATGGACTATGGGACAATATTTTGGGCCAAAAATGTGTATTTCTAGTAGCTTTTTAATACCACAAGGGGGCACAAGAGTCAATAGAAGATGTCATACAATCTGAATCTTTATGAACAACCATTCATAGCAGAAACAAGGCAAACATATGTGATACGTTCCCTGATATTCGGTGAAAGGGAATAGAGTAACACAAAGTTTAAATAACCTGGAGACAAATCTGAATCTTCTATAATGAACCTTTGTAGAGAGACAGAGAGACACACAGAGAGACAGACAGAGAGACAGAGAGAGACACACAGAGAGACAGACAGAGAGACAGACAGAGAGACAGAGAAACACACAGAGAGACAGACAGAGAGACACACAGAGAGACACAGAGAGACAGACAGAGAGACAGACAGACAAACAAACAGACAGACAGACAGACATACAGACAGACAGACAGACAGTCAGACAGACAGACAGACAGACAGACAGACAGACAGACAGACAGACAGACAGACAGACAGACAGACAGACAGTCAGACAGACAGACAGACAGACAGACAGACAGACAGACAGACAGACAGACAGACAGACAGACAGACAGACAGACAGACAGACAGACAGAGAGGTCTCTGTGTGTCATTCAAGCTTGGGAGGGTGTGTGCTGGCTACAGCTCAGGTAAAGGACTCTCTGAGTGCTTAGATAGTTAACTTAGTCTAAGTTCTCAGTGGGTCTCAAACGGTTTGGTCACCTTTTATGTAAACACATATTTCCATTTTGAGGGGGGAGTGATTAGTCAAATATGTATGAAGAAAAAAAAAGAAAAATTAACTAGGTGAAAAAAGGTAAGATACACTTTTAATACTTGTTGAGAGCTCAAACTAGTCTTTGCTGCTGCCTCAAAAGGAGCAGGGGGAGAGGAGGAGAGGGGAGAGGGGGGAGAGAGGGGGGAGACGGGGGAGAGGAGAGGCTGGTTCAGGAGCACAGACACACTCACAACTATAAATGAACCAAAAATAAATAAATAAACAAGTTTCAATGTTTTTTCATATTGGATATGGGATGTTATTGGTTATGGCCATATTCTTATGATTATTGAAATGTATACAGTTCTGTTTCATATGGGTGTTTCCGTAGATCTAGTCTCTTTATGTTCCCCTCAAAATGCAGCAGATTGATGCATTTAACTCCAAAATAAGAGGATTTCAGGTCCACCCCCACTTCATTTTTTCACATGGATAGGTTCCTAAATACATTTGCAAATGTTTTTAAATAGTAACCCATGTCCGATATGTTTATTTTTGGGTAGTAGATAGGGTTATCACTACGGGCAGCAACGCTGTAAATATTGACAAATAAATCCAGCAAAATGGCACAGAAAAACTGGTAGTGGCCAGACTGGGTGTGTAATTCCCGGCCTGACTTATTGTCCCAGTCCGGCCCTGCTGCAGGGTAGCTGGTGGATTTACTCCGGAACTAAAGTCTGATTTAACACTTGATTATATTTCACATAATTCATCCAGATCTGTGAAGTAACTAAAGGTATTAATACATGTAGTGGAGTAGAAGTACACCATGTACCTCTGAACTGCAGTGGAGTAGAAGTACACCATGTATCTCTGAACTGTAGTGGAGTAGAAGTACACCATGTATCTCTGAACTGCAGTGGAGTAGAAGTACACCATGTATCTCTGAACTGCAGTGGAGTAGAAGTACACCATGTATCTCTGAACTGCAGTGGAGTAGAAGTACAAAGTAGCATACAATTGAAATACTCAAGTAAAATGCAAATACCTCAACATGTTACTTAAGTACTTGAGTAGATGTACTTAGTGTTAAAGAGGGTTTCATCCTCCAATTCTGAACAAACGGCTGAAGATAGATGGGACTAAGAGGGAAAACAGTGCTAACACTTCTCTAAACTGGTCTAGAATCTGTCTTTTTAAAATATAGATGCTTAGAAATGGCAGGAGTTTCTATCTACATACAAACAGATTGAATTAAAGAAATAAGTGGAAGTGTATTCCAAAGTCAATTAAAGTCATAATGTCTGGATTTGTATTGATAGAAAGATCATTTAAAAAATAGAGGAATTAGTTTGTGTCCCCGAAACGTTAGGGGATATCTATCAGGGGACAGGGTGATAATTAAACATTCATGAGCATTACCTTCCACTGCAACATGTATTTGTTTATGTTTATTTCATGTGCTTTTGCTAAGAGTCTGCACACAAACTGAGAAACGTGAAGTTTCACTTGTTGTTGTCGGTTTTTAAAAAGATGAAGTGAAATAGTTTGTGGCTGAAAGTGAAAGTTTAACCTCTGATGTTTCTCTAAAATCTGTAAAACACTAATGTTGATTAAAGGTTTGTCCTGCAGCAGAAAGATCTGGATGGACAGCTTATTATGGTCTGTCTGCTCATCAGCTGGTTTGATATGTGACTATGGGACCATATTTTGGGCCAAAAATGTGTTTTTCTAGTAGCTTTTTATTACCACTAGGGGGCGCCAAAGTCAATAAAAAGTGTCAGACAATCTGAATCTTTATAAACAACCTTTCATAACAGAAATAAGGCAAACATGTGTGTTACGTTCAAGCCCCCAGGAAGTGCGCCGGACTCTGCCCAAAATGTGTTGTGCCCAAAACGGCGGTACTGCAACTTCCGTATCAGTCCGTGGCGTTACCCGTTCCAAAAATTACTTTTTTACATGCGCAACTTTAACCACGCCCCCCAAAAGGCTCGTTCACATTAGGCACGTCAATTTGTACACGTAACAGCACCGCGCGTTCATGACAGCATGGCACTGGATTGTTATGGATTTTGATATTAAGGCCCAATCCCAAACCACGCCGTACACCCTACCCCTACACTCCCCCTCCGTGACGGAGTGAACTCCGTGGAGTGACACACGAGGCTCCCTCCTGTCGGACGGAGGGAGTAAACACAGCAGCAAGCTTTGGGACGGCCTCCCCTCTCTCCGGCAGAAACAGGAAATGCCATAACTGAATGTAACAACGGTTTCAAATCAGCATCTCTTTGACAAAAAATGTAAATTAATAACTCAAATAAAACTCCAAACATCTTTCATTGTGTTTTTTGTAAAGCTCTTTTAGTTTTAAACCTGATGTTTATAAGCTTCTTAGTTTTTGCAACAGTCTGTAAGTATACACAACTTTATAATAAAATGCACACATTTACCTTTTTCTATTCTAAACACAGGTTTGATCCTAAAGTCCCTGACACATCAAGCAGTCACCAGAGAACTCGCCGTGTTCTCCTGCGTGTTGATCATGTGTCGCACTGGAACACACCGCAAAGACTTCAGCCGATCACATACAAACTGCGCATGCGTGAGCGGCAATAACTCTCCCTACCAGCAGGCGGCGGTAGTGTGTATTCGTCATTCAAAAGAGGCAACAACCGGAAGACAGAGAAGAAGAACAGACTGCGTGATATAAACAAACAACAAATAGCGTGTGCGTTCCATTTTCACTCTCGTCCATCGAAAACATGTTTCGTGCGGCACTGGAGCTATCAGCCATTGGAGTGTTGCTTGTGGAAGACATTCTCAAGCAACCGTCTCTCAAGAGGCGGAAGCGATCAGAGTGATTTCTTTGTCCGACTGCCTGTGGCCGACGCACGGCCGAT